CTAAAGTCTATGAAATCTATTAAATTGATTTGGAAAGATTCGGCGATTCAGACATAGACACAGCTTTAAATGTTTTTTCTACATACCTCTAGGTACCAGGTGGCTCATAAATGCTGTGATGCTGGGGTGCACGGAGCATCCCACAGGAGCACAGTGCTTCCTGGGTCTGGCGGGGGGGGGGAGGTGCACCTGGGGTTCCCCTGCAAGTGCTTGCTAAGCCAGGGAAACACACACTCCATGGCGGATCTGGAAATAGTTCCAGTCCACTTCTGGGTTCACTGCCAAGCACAAAGGACTCCTGTGGTACACTCCATCCGCCCCAGCATAGCAGCATTCACGAGCTGTGCCTGCTACCTCAAGGTATGTAGAAAAAAAACATTTAAAGCTGTGTTTATGTCTGAATTGCTGATTCTCTGAATCAGCATCGAATCTTCAGATTTGGATTTGGCCAAATTGAATCAGGGACAGTGATCCAAATCAACGAGTAGAATCACTGTCCCTGATTCTGGCCAAATCCAAATTGAATAGGGCCTGTTACACACCCCTAGTAGAGGTCTCAACTGGCTTGGGAGGGAGTGGGACCTAGGCCAAGGAGCAGGGCCACAGCTGAAGAGGGATGAAAGCAGGTAGGGTCAGGGACCCATAGTTTGCAAAGGGTGAGAATCAGGGCCAGGGGGCCCATAGCTCATGAGGGGCAGGGTCTGTCAGAGGTAATGAGGCCTGAGCCCAGGGAGAGGTTGAGATTGTTCAAAGTACAGACGCCCAAGCCCAGGTGGGAATGGGACAGTTAAAGGCACCAGGGCTGGAGGTCCCAACATTGGTAGAGATTGTTCCATGGTTAGAGGCCCACATTGACAAGAGTTGACATGGAGAATGCAGGCCCATGCATGAGAGATTGACTTGATTGGGACTTGTTTGACTTGAGTGGGGGTTACAGCTGTGAGGCTTCAGCATGGCTACAGGGGGAGTTGAAGAGGCCATGTAATTAGTCCTTAAGGCAATGAGCAGTAACACCTGTATTCTTGAGTATGAGCTCTTGTGAGGCAGCCTCCCTTTTTTCTAGA